ATTAATCATAATACTTTCTGGTTGTACGTTTATTGAATAAATAAAATGATTAATTTATTGCTTATCGATATTATTTTATTAATCTGAAATTTTGTTACATAAATTTTTAGTGCTCGATATATTAGTCATGTAATGTTCGAAACTTTTTTGAGTGACGATTTTACCCTGGCCTATATTATCGTTATACCGAAACTGCCGAAATTAATTACTTAACCGGATCGGCTGAAAATCATTCGGCTAATTTTTGCCAGGTGTCCCAGAATTTATGATAACAGCTGTAACACGAGAAAACATAATGTGAAGGTTTTTAAACGTTATATTTGCACGAAGTACCAATGAAAAAGAAATATGTAAGATTAACTATGTGCTAAATAAAATTTCCGGATATTCATTCCGGACTATTACATGATCACCGGAGCAGCAACCTGGTACACATTTTCGGGTTGCAATTTCGGGTTCCGTGTTCTTGAAGCGTCCCCGAAAAAGATGGTCTAGACCATCTTTTTTTATCATAGAGTTGTATTTATTGGCTAAAATTTAAGATCCGCGTTTTGCACTATGAACCTTCGGCAAAATTGCTGTAATAATGATCTCAATTAATTATGATGCTTGTGCACGAACTTGTTTACTAGTTGACCAAATTGAGAAGATGCGCATGATTTTTCTAAAATAAGATCGTCGATAATTTATTAAAGATCGATCGCATAATTAAAGTAATATATATTAGTAGATATAGCGAATGTAGAGCAATTAGTGCATATAGCGTAATTAGTGCACATAGTGTATTTAGTAAATATAGCATACTTAAGTAATACGTTCTAAATGTAAAAATTCAAGTCTCGCAACAGAATAATAAAGCTTACCCACCTTTAGTACTCGCCCAAATCCAACGCCTCTTTTGAGTACTAACACGTTCCTCGTTACGCGAGAAACTTTCGGTTACACTATGAATAGGGATTTTTAAAGCAATAAATTTTTCGTAGTACGACAATATATATCTTAATGCTAAGAAGCCAAACCGAAATTTTCAATAGACTCCGAAATATTCCGAAAAATTCCCATGCACATGAAATTGAAAAAAAAATCGGAATTTGCACTTCACTAGGTACAGTACACTTTTTTTAGCGAAAAATATAGGTTTATTATATAAATTTTTTATCATATGCAACCCAAATAATGTTTGCTGATGATCACCCTAGCGTTTCGTACCGTACTAATTTACTATCAGCCATTTGAGTGCTTCAAGGGGAAAACCTACATGTTGCACTTTTTAAATATTTACTTTAACTAAAAATAAAATTAGTGATGGGCAATGCGCATCATGAAATGAGAAAAAATTGGAATTTGCACATCACTACTTAAAATCAGTGAAGATGATTCGAATGATATTAAAATTGATAGGTATAGGCTGTCGTTGAAATAGTTGTCGGTGAAATAAACTTATCGGTGAATTGATTGTCAGTGAAATGAATTATCGATGAATTGATTTCGGTGAAATAAAAGGGCCGTAAACAAGACCAATTTTATAAATCATAAGAAAATGTAAAATTGTATTAATACAACTACTTTCGTATCTAAATTGATTTATGTAAAAAAAAAAAAACTCTTGAAAAAATTGTCATTTTCTGTCTTTTCCCAGCACCTAGCACATATTATCTAAAATTCGTGGTTTGCTACGTAACTTAATAGACTCTTTATCTTTAATTCCCATAATGTTGAAAATATCATCTCTATATCAATCAATATTTCATCCATCCGAAATTAGCGCTCTTATCCAATTTATATTTTACAAGCCTAAAAATATACTTGAAATTAAACCAGAAAACAAGCAAAAGATACGTTGTTATGAGTTTCTGGATCAAACTTCTCGTTCTTTTGCTGCTGTAATTAAACAGTTGGATGATGCTGTAAGAGATGCTGTATGAATTGGGTTTTATCATTCAATTTAATTTAATTTAAATTTAAACCAATTTAATTTAAGTTTATTTACTTAATTTGATTTAATTTAGATTTGTCTTTTTTATCTCGTCCTTCGTGGTCTTGATACCATCGAAGACGACATGACAATCCCTATTGAAACGAAAGAACCCCTACTAAGGTCTTTTCATGAAATTATTTTTCAAAAAGGATGGACTTTTACGGGATGTTAGTTTCAATTATTTTTATTTTTTTTTTGAATATAAAATAATTCCCTTCTATATTATTATTATTTTCTTTTATGTTTCAGGTGATCCCCTAGAAAGAGATCGTCAATTACTCGTAGAATTTAATGTTGTGATTGATGAATTTCTGTCTCTTAGAAAGGAGTATGTAAATTTTTTCTTTTTTTATTTCAGTGTTACGTAAAATCATATGATAATATTTTTCGCTGTGTACTAGGTTTCGTGATATCATCGCTGACATCGTTAATAAGATGGGAAATGGTATGGCTGACTATGTAAAAGATGGTGCACACATACATGGGGTTACCGTTAAGACCATTAAAGATTTTGACATGTATTGCTATTATGTTGCCGGTTTGAGTGGTCTTGGCCTTACCCGTTTATTTGTTGCAAGTGGTCTAGAAAGTTCCGATCTCGCAAGCGATACTAATTTGTGAGATTTGCATTTATATTTTCTTTTATATACATTTATTTATTTATTTATATTTTATCCATTTTATGGTTTTTAGGTCAATTAATATGGGTCTATATTTACAAAAAACAAACATACTTCGTGATTATTTAGAAGATCATCTTCATGGACGTAAATATTGGCCAGAGGAAATTTGGTCAATTTATGTTAAAGATTCTTCTGATCTTAAAGAACCTGGTTATGAAACTGAGGCTCTTGACTGTCTTTCATCTGTCATTCTCAATATTCTTAATCATGTTCCTGTAAACTTAACTTATATGAATAAGCTTCAAAATAAGTCAGTTTTCAGATTTTGCTCTATTCCACAAGTATGGGCGCTTGCAACTTTGTCAAAAATGTTTAGAAATTATGAAACTTTCCAAAAAATTGTTAAAATTAGAAGAGGTGAAGCTGTTAAGGTAACTTGCTGAAAAAAAAACAAACTTTTTCTAATTGATCAGTTGAAAATTAACATTATTATTATTATTATTATTTTAAACATAGATATTCCTAAAGTGCACTAGTATTCATGATATTGCAAATTTCTATCTTGAGTATACTAGAGTAATCATCCATAAAAATGATCGTAAAGATCCTAATTTTATGAAGATTAGTGCTGCTTGTGGGAAGGTAATAACTATCTTTAATATAAGATGTCTTAAAATATATACATATATTTCTGAATATTAACTATTATTAATATTAATTAACAAAAGATTGAACAATGGTGCACTACCAATCTTCAAGTTACGAAAGATTATAATAAAACTCTTAAAAAGGATTGGCTTAATCATGAAAATGACTTATTATTATTTATTGGATTTAGTTTATTGACATTCACGGTTTATCTGTTATATTTTTAGTATTGGAAACAATTTCGTTATGATGGTCTCGAATATTAGCGGATCAAATTTAATATAAAGGATACCAACTTTATGTCAATTAATCAACAATAATTAATAATACCTTTTTTATACTAAATTTGTTACATATTAAATCTTTCTGATGCTAACTATTTTAAATACAAGGTCTCAGACCCAGGAGTTGCTCCAGATTAAATATTAATCTAGGTCTCAGACCTAAGAGTTGCTCCGGGTTTAAATTATATATATTTTTACATAGTGTTATATTTACATATCGCTCTAGATTTAAATTTTAGTTAATTTTGAATATAAAATTAAATAAACTTTATGTATTAAAAGGTTTTACTAAAAATAACCAATGGTGCTCATCACGGTGTAAAATGTAAATATATGGATGTCTACGAAATTACTTTGGGCGTCCGAAATACTTCGACTTGCCGAAGTACAAAATCGAAAGTCAAAAGTCTTATTGAAAGTCGAAAGTCCTACCAAAAGTCCTACCGAAAGTACTACTGAATGTAGACTTCGACAAAGGATATTGTTGCCTTTGTTGAAGTCTACATCATGTAATGTGTTCGAAAATTGAAGAAACCTTAGAATCACCTAGTACAAATAGTAGTTGGATATCTAATGTGCAAGTACAGTATATTAAAAATTTTTTTTTGATATTTAATTTATTCATTTTTAAATTTTTTTTTGGATGTTAAGAACTCTTTCTGTAGATCATCTTATTAAAATGAAACAAAATATAAAAAAGTTTCTATCAATAATACAACAATAATTATTAAATAAATCAGCCTTAGGTTTTTAAGTAAACTTGTTTTATGCATTAAATTTAATCTAAAAAAGTATAACTTTTGGAAAACCCTTAATATCAACTGTGAACAGTAACAATATCAAAAGCAACATTGCAAAAAACAACTTATGTTTCGTCAAAAATGATCCTAAAGACCTATAATTCAACATATAAATCCAATATATTAGCTTTAAAAAATAGTAAAAAACTATAAACAACTTACAAATCTGTTATCACAAATTTTGAACTAAACATTATTTAAAATATTTTTTTTCTTTTAGTCTATTTTATTATTATTTAAAAATCTTTTATTTACAATTTTAACTATCAATCAGTCTACAGAATATATTAAAATTTTTATTAATATTAATATAAAAGATCTATCTAAAATTTATCTTTATAATTATCTTTTTTATCTTCAATTTTGTTTACAAATATTTTTTATAATAAATTTTATTAAATCTAATTACATATTCAATCTTATTATATTCTTAATTTAATAATTATACAATACAAAAAATCTTTTTAATTAATATTTTTTGACTTTATAATAGTTAGAAACAATTTTATAAATATTAACATTAAATAATCAGAAATACATATAGTTTTAATCTTAACTTAGTAAATTAGATATACAAAAAAAGTATAAAAGAAATATAAATATCTAAATATTATATAAATTTTCTATTGATTTTTTATAACATAATTACAAAAATATAAATAAAAAATTATTACAAATAGATAATCTTATACAAGACAACAATCTAATATTAAATTTTATTATAAATATTATACTGTATTGGTATTATAGCATGGCAGTCATTAATCATAATGATACACTATTTATGCTTTAAAAAAATATTTAACTTGTAAAATATGTCATTAAAACAGTTTAATTGTTATAAATATAATATTTGAATAATTTATAAACTTGTATATTTTTTTTTAAAATCACTTTATAAATAATTTCTTATAAACAATATCATAGTCACTAAATAAGATATGCTTTATTTTGAAAAAAACTACTATTTATAGATGATGTTGTCAAACTTGATTGAATAACTGAATAAGAATTGTTATATTTGGCATTTTGAATATTTAACTAGGCAGTAAATATAATAATTCTTGCATATTGTGAGCCTAATTTTTGGGGTCACAGGTGACCGAATCGAAGCAATGATCCTGACCCGATCCAAGGTCACATAGATGTGACGGAAATGCCACTTATGTTACTTATGTCACTTCTCTGACTTCATCTATATATGAGTTAAATGAAATATTAGTGTTTTATTAGACTTAGTTAGGATATAGAATATAAGAAATCTAATACATTTATGAAAGAAATTAACTGTAAATGTAAACAAAATGTTTATTATAAATAAAGGGCATTTTTGCCTTGTGAGAACAATAATTTCCACATTTCTAATACAAATTCCTAATAACAAATTCTCTAATAACAAATAAATACCTGCCCCTTAATAAAAGTGAAGCTCTACCCTATACAAACTAATAAACTATTGTAAACCCAATTGTTACCTCTATCGTTCATTTAAATAAATCCCTAAACTTGCCAGTTGATTGCTTGCCACAAGTCATGTGACAAGACCATTACCGAACAAGAAGTTCCAACTCTGATTCGATGTAGTGTAATCTCGGGTTGAGTCATAAAGAGAAGATAAAAAGAAGATAAAGAGAAGATAAAAAGAAGATAAAGAGAAGATAAAGAGAAGAAAAAGAGAAGACAAAGAGTTAGTAGAAGCCAGGTTAAAGAAAAGCCCTAAAGAGAAGATTACAACTTACCTACAAATAAACCACCTAGCCAAATCTAACACACCTAATTCGACTTAGCCACCGTAGGTTATGCGAGAGTTGAATTAATTTAGCAACAGACTTGCAATTCTGAAATCACAATATTTAACATAGCAGTTTAATAGGATTTTTAAAAAAAGCTTAAAGTATAATGTTTACCAATTGATAAAAAAATTACATCTTTTAAAGAAGCTTTATCTTCTTTATTATTAAGATAATAATAGAAATTTTTACTAAAGTAATATCTATTAGATCATTTAGAAAAAATTAATTCTATATTCAATTGATTAAATCTTTAAAACAGTAAATCTGTTATTCAATTGTGGTGCTTTATATTATTATATATTAGTATTAAAAAGTAAAGGTGCTAAGAGTCTTATACTATTATTATAATTTGAAAAGTCATATATTTAAAATGTATTGTTTTGATTTTGCTGATTTTTATTACAAATTTGTCAACTTTGTAGTTCTACTGAAGGTAAGTAACTTTTCTGATAATGTTTAATATAGGTATTAGAGTTTAAAATATTCTCTAAAGCTATATCAAAGTTTTTTTTTTAAATAATTAAAAATAAATTAAAAAATTTGACTATATAATGCTATATATACATAAAACTATTTTAAAACCTATATCCTTTTCTTTATATGACTTTCATGATCTTTTAGATCTTTGTAAATTGTTTGAATTATTTGAATATTCAGAAACATCAGACTTTATTCATATAATGTCAACTTTTTTTTTACAGTTTGTGTTTTTTTGCTACTGGTTTGGGTATATGAAATTGCAATTTTTAAAATAAGAAATTTCTAGTCAGAGTAAGACAAACTAAATAATAAATACTCATAAAAAGATAATACTCAGAATGGCATTTTGATTAATATTTCTAAATAAAATAAAGTAAAATATAAAATACTTCATATTTATATAAATAATCTTTATTTTTTTTTTGGTGTTAAGGTGAGACCTTGCTCATATCTTTATTGGTAGTTTTTAAAGTTAGTAACTTCATGGAGTTACTATGTATAAAAATAATTTTATATAGATGCTATTATAGATAATCTTTAATAAAATAATTATAATCAAAATTACATATATTAGTTATATTATCTTGTAACTATAAATATAAGCTTTTTAATAATTTTGGATTTTATAAATTTGTTTTTATAAGTGTTAGCTACTTTAGTATAAACTTTATACATATATCTTAAACATAATCCATTATGATAATCTGAATTTATTTATAAATAACTACTTTTATTAATATTTTGAAATAGACTTAATTTTCATATTTGTATTCTATTTTTGTTCTAAAAATTTTAGCTAATTCAGACACCTGAAATAGCAACTTCAGCAGGTGACAACTTCAGATATAAAATTTACTTATTTTTTTTATTAATATAATTTAGTGAATTTTTTAATAAATTTAAAACAAGCTAAAAAGTAACTTAAGATTACTTTATTATTTTATATTTCTTTTTGAACTTAAAAAGATAAAAAATACAATTTAAACAAATATTATCAGTATAATTTTTACAAAAATTAACTTTAATTAGCTTATTATAACTGAAAGATTATTTTATTTTATTTATTTTAATACCTATATTATTAGTGACCTTCTTTATATTATATTATATGTCTAAAATATTTATATAATTTCAATAGAGCATTGCACTTAGCATTTAGATATAAATAAAAACTTATTAATTAATTTGATTTTTGTTTAAAAGTATTTTATAAAAGGCATGCTACAAACTAAAGAGATTTTTTGAATCAAACTTTTAGTAAAGATTCATTTTTATTAGCTATTACAGATTAAACAAGTCTAATTTGTGTCCATACAAGTCAGAATTTTTTATTTTAAATCAACTTATAAATCTAAGTTTGGAACTTAGTTTGAAAAAATTAATTTCTTAAGTTTTCAAAATGAAATTTAAAGTTTATAAATAAAAACTAACTCAATTATATCTATTAAATACTTTTAAAATAGTACTAATATATTTTTATTAATTATATACTAATTTTTATCACAAGTTTTAATACTATTTTAATAAATAGCAAATTTATTTGTAGCAATGAGCTCCAAATATTATATGTTACCCTTAATATAAATTGCATTACACAGTATATATGTTAATTACTATTGTATTTAATACTAAATATATATAAATAATTATAATAACAGTATAACCTATTTGTGTAAATTATTTATATCATATATTTTTATTACTAAGTATATAGTAAAGTAATATAATAAATAAAAATATAGAATTAACAGTATATATATCTAAATTATTTGTATATATCACAACAATACTGCTGTTAATAAAAAAAAATTCTTTCAAAATAACTACTTTTTCTATAAATCTAAAGTGAAAAAAGAATATTAGTAATATTTCTCTAACCCTAATTATTAAAAGGAGATACTAAAATTTA